GGATGTGAAGAAAAGGGAATCCTTGTGCACTCTTGGTGGGAATGTAAATTGGTGCAGCCACTACAGAAACATTTTGAGGTTCCTCAAAAAATTAAAAATAGAACTACCATATGATCCAGCAATTCCACTTCTGGGTATTTATCCGAAGAAAATAAAAACACTAACTCAAAAAATATATGCACCCCCATGTTCATTGTAGCATTATTTACAATAGCCAAGACATGGAAACAACCTAAGTGTCCATCGATGGATGAATGGATAAAGAAAATGTGAAGTATATGTATATACAATGGAATATTGTTCAGCCATAAAGGAAAATGAAATCTTGCCATTTGCAACAACATGGATAGACCTTGAGGGCATTATGCTAAGTGAAATAAGTCAGACAAAGACAAACACCTATGATCTCATTTACATGTGGAATCTTAAACAAAACAAAACAGGCTCACAAATTGGTGGCTGCCAGAAGTGGGGGTTGGGGGCGGGCGAAATGGGTAAAGGGAATCAAAAGATACAAACTTCCAGTTATAAAATAAATAAATCTTGGGGACGTAAGGTACATTTTGGCAACTATAGTTAATAATACTGCGTTGCATATTTGAAAGTTGTTAAGAGAGTCAATCTTAAAAGTTCTCATCACAAGAAAGAAAAATTCTGTAACTATGTATGGTGACAGATGTTAACTAGATTTATTGTGATCATTTCACAATATATACGAATATCAAATCATTATGTTGAATACCTGAAACTCATATAATGTTGTATGCCAATTATACCTTAATTAAAAAAAAAAAAGAATCAATCTTTCTCTAACACTCCATGCTGATTTCCTCCGGGTTGGCTTTTAGGCAGTTTGTAGACTATGAGTGGCAAATGTGGCCACCAGAAACTCCAGACTTTCATCTGACCCTAGCAACTCAATGGAAAGAAAGTTTTAATATTAGCTTGAAATATATAAAATTGCCATTTACGTAGGTGAAAAATTTTTAAATAATGGCAATTTCATATGTTTCAACCTAAAAGTTGCAGAAAAAGTCCCAAGGTTAAAGGTCATTGGTTCAGCTTGGATTTCATACCCATTATTAAACCAATCATTGTGGCCTAGTCTAGAATATAGTACTACTCTTACTGGCCTGGTCTGAGTCATATGCCCACCCATGAGCCATGTGACAAAAAGTAAGATTGATTTCTCAAAGGAAATTTAAAGTTCTATCATTAGAAAAGGGACAATAAAAATGGAGGAGGCAAAATACCAGATGCCCACTATGCATCAATAGACGCCAAATGTGGAAATTTACCATGAGGGTAAAAAAACCTAATCTTCAGGGAACCTCACTTCATTGGCTCCTTCTAAAACCAAATATCTAACTTTATATTTAAATTTTTGGATTCTTTTTCTTAAAGGGCTCCCAAACTATATAAGTTTTAGGACGAACAAAACCTGTAATTGCATTTAATAAAAGCACAAAAATATTTGTGAAATTAACGTGTCCCCAACATATTGTACTTCCTTCTGTTTTTATTGGAAATAAACCATTTATTAGATAGTTATTCACTAAATTCTTCGTAATAACTTAATTTCTTTTGACACTAACAGAACATAACTTGATCATTCCCTTCAGATTGCCCCCAACTTCTCAGAACTCAGCATTTAATGTATTTTTTTTTTTGCCTCTGTCACAGACCCACACAGACAAGGTCCTTTATCATTTTTGCTCCTCCTGGAACTATATTCCCATGTGAACCCTGCCTCCCAGTATCTCCTTTCATGAGAGGCCAGCCCAGTTTGAGACGTGCATCTCTGAGTCCCGCTGTGGTTCCTTATAGCACCAATTTAAAGAAACTTACCAGTTGCTCAGATTCACTCTAAACTAATATTCATTTTTAAAAAATTCCAAACCAAAATGAACTCTCTAAAATTACTGTAGAGACAATATGAAATGCAAGGTGCATCTTATACTGGAGTGAATCTAGGATGTGACTTGGATCAAAGCCATACACCTGTAGAGGACCCATTATCAACGTTGTGCCAAAATTGGGCCTGGATAACCAGAAAATGTGCCCTTGTTTTTCGGATTTCCAACTGCACTTTACCCTTCTATTTGGCAGTCAGAGAGCCCCAGGAATGTAAATTCACGCTGTTTTGAATGTGGGGGAAGGCGAGAGAACGAAGCCTGCCTGCTGCTATTCTGATTCCAGCATTTGTCCCTGGAAGAGACAGCTCTGGGATTGATGCTATTTTTCTCCCTGCTCAGGAAAATGGCTTGGGCTGTGTATCAGGGAAGGCCAAGGGGCACCTACAAATGACAATTTGCACTTAATCCCCCAGCGTGTTTCCAAACCCGTAGTCCTTCAGGTGTGGCATTGCATTGGACCCAGTTACTTCCCCCGCACACATACACACCTCCTGCAAGAAATGCGGCATAGAAACAGGGCAGCGCAATTGTGTTGCCTTGTTTTTCTTTTAATTTGTTCAGATTGTCTCTAGGCAGAAGAAGCGGGGAATAGAAACCAGATGGTTGTAGCTGGAGTAGAAACCTACTACTGAGGAGATTTGAGATGCTCAAATCTAGTGGCAGTCACTATTTCCCTGCAGGGAAAGGAAATGGAATAACAGAGCGGTGGCAAAAGATTTCCAGAAGACTGACCTCCAGTATCCTGTTTTCTCTAGCCTATGTCCACACACAAAAAATGCAGCCCCTTTTCCCTCAATTCTCCAAAGCACCACCAACCGTGGGCTAGAGCAGAGTTTTCTGTAAGTTTGGTGGTAGTTGGGAGGGAAGGTAGTTAGTGGTAACAAAAGGGTTTATATCACTGGCCTTAATTTACAAATGAGTATTATCCATCCTTCCTAAAGTCCTTTGGCCCCCCTGTACCTTCCCCTTCAGCATCCCAACCACTCACCAAACCCGAGCAAATCCCACCAAATCACCTGATGTGTTCCTCAACCTCTCCTCCCTACTCACAGGAAGTAGAGAGAAAATTGAGACTAAGGGAAAGACAAACAGTCACAGAATTACCCTCTTTTATCTTCCTATATTTGGAAAGATTCAGCCAACAGAAGAGCCTTTCGTCCTGGTCTTGGCATCTAAACACCTGGAGGATAGCAGCACCAAGGTCTGAGGTGGGGGCTCAGAGAGCTCCCCTACTCTAGTTAGGGAAAACTGACTCAATGTGTTGTGAAGTACTATGCAAATGCAGCTGAATATCCATTCAGATATTCACCTGTTAGGATTTTTTCCTCCCCAACCAAATGTGTCTTTTTCAACACCATTTCTCCAAATATCCAATTGTATCTTACAATTCAATTCAATTCTGACACTCACTACTGAGAGTCAGCATCAGACTCCACAGGTTTAAGGGCTCAGTCCCACAAGACTGCCCCCACTTCACAGACCAGTCACAAGTACCAAGTCCCCAGGTTATCTGCACTTCTGTGCAACTAGGCTACAAATTTTTGGGTTCCCATAAGCCCCCCTCAGATTAGATAATTTGCTAGAATGACTCACGGAACTTGGGAGAGTGCTTTACTTACCCGTGCTATAAAGGATACAACTCAGAGATAGCCAAATGGAAGAGACGCATAGGGCAAGGAATGGCAGGGGGATGTGGAGCTTCTATGCCTTCTCTGGCCATGCCACCCTCCCAGCAACTCCCTGTATTCAACCCAGAAGCTCCCTGAACCCCGTTGTTTAGGGGTTTTCACGGAGGTTTCATTATGTAGGTGTGATTGATTAAATCATTGGCTATTTGTGATTAAGTCGATCTCCAGCCCCTCCGCCCTCCCCGGAAGTTGCAGGATGGGACTGAAAGTTCCAAACCTCTAATCAAGGCTTGGTCTTTCTGGTGACAAGAGGCTCCAGTCACCCTTATCACTCAGAAATTCCAAGGGTTTTAGGAGCTTTGTGTCAGGAACTGGGGACAAAGACCAGACATCTTTCTTATTATACCACATCACCCTATTATGTTTACCTGTCTGGTAAAAAATTCTACAGACACCCTTCTTAGAGTGTCAGCCCTCCTGGCTATTTCTGGCTCTCCCTCTCTGTACACTCTCCATATTCCCTTAAGAGATTGACCAGGAACCTCTGAGTTGTTCTCCATTAAGCTTTTCAACACATAATTAGTTCCACTATGACAGACCTTTTTAATAAGGTCCCGTCCAAATAAATCATTCATGGGAACAAGCTTTCTCAGAGCATTGGAGTTGAAGGCCCACTCCACCTCTCTTTCTCCCAGAAGAATCTTAGGATGTCAGTCGTAACGGTGGACTTAAATGGCCCAGGAACTCACTGTAGCCCCATTTCATGCAGGCGTCCTGTCCACTTTTGGGGCTACCTCCATTGGCCTCTGGGTCACTGATATCCCATAAGGGAGAATTGGACCCTTTTGAGTGCCCAGGGAGGCCTGTTGGCTCTAACTTGTTCATGTCTCTGTGGGGAAACTCTCAGAGCTGGATCCTGAGACTCCGGAATGCAAGACCAGGAACTTTATAGTTAAAACTATGTTTTAACTATAATGGGATGAGGGATGGGATGGGGACCAATTTGACTGAAGGCCTCTGTGCATTCTGCCCCACTGGCTGCCCATCCCTGTCCCTGCACACACTGAACCAAGACAAAAACGAAAAACACAACCAAAAAAACTCAGGAAACAAAGCTTTTCTGTTATGTTATTAAGAGATCTTCCTTTTGAAGCAAACACCTCACTTCCTCCTTGGTTGGGGCTTTGATAATCTGTGGCCCAAGTGTCAGATGTTGAGGGCCTCAAGCCCACATCGGTTGATCTGAAATCCATGTTTAGGTCCCAGCATGTGGCAATGTGCTCCACTCTGATGACACTTTTCGTTTCTAATAATAGAGCAGATGAAGTAATATTGCAATTGATGTTCCCGGGAATTTGATTGGATAAGTGCATAAACTGTGGAGGGGGAAGGGGGTTGTATGGACGGATCACATTAGTATTCCCATCCTATCAATGTGCGGGGCCGCGAGCAACGTCAGCCGGACCCATTCCCTGCGTCTGCCAGTCCCGCCACGGATTCATCTGGGATCCTCAGAGGAGCCCGGAGAGACGAGGGATCAAGGCAGCCCATTAGAGCCAATTGCCCGCTTCGGGGACTGCCAGCCCTTCCAGGCCCGGTGACGGGGGAGGGAGGGGAAAGACGAACCAGCGCTGCTGCGGGAAGACACTGAGGCAAGAACGACTCGCCCCCCCACCCCCACCTTGCAGCACAGGCTTTGAAAGCTGCTCCCCCATCTGAATGGAAACTCGGAACCACCGGGCGGCGCGTTCCTTCTCACCCAGCCTTGCAATCCATGCCGAGGGGAAGGCGGTGCGAGCCCGCACCAGCGTCCAGCTCCTGGGACAGGGCCCGCAAGACTGCTGAGCAGAACTTGACCGAGCCCCTTCCTCGCTGCTAGTGGAAGCGATGCTGCACGGCACAGCCAGCGCTTCCCCGGCTCTCCTTCAAGCTGAAGGTTACCCACCCGCGCAGCCAGCCCCAACCCTGTGAGCGCCGCGCCTCGGGTCGCGGCTCCTGCTGCTTGGCGGCGGCGCGCAGGGCAACGACCGGGCCGCCCGCGCCGGGGCGCACTGCACCAGCGGCTTCGGCTTGGTGGATGTGTATGCATGAGTTCTGCACCGAATGGGCGCAAAAAGCGCCCCAGCCGGTCCACCCGCTCTTCGATCTTCCAGATCAGCAAGCCCCCGCTGCAGAGCGGGGATTGGGAGCGCAGGGGCAGCGGCTGCGAGAGCGCCCACAAAACCCAACGAGCCCTGGACGACTGCAAGATGGTAGGTGAAAAACTACGCCTCTTTTTTTTTTTTTTTGGAGAGGAGGTGGGAGAACCGTGTATGTTAATCGTTTGCTTGAGTGCCAGCCACTCCCCCACCCTCAGCGCCTCCATGCCGATCACGTGCACATGCACTATTTTAAAATCTGCAGTCCCCCAGATTCCGGGTGACACCCGGGTCGTAATGGCCCTGCAAAGAAGTGCCACGGCAAGGGTCTTGGGGTTAGCGGCTGTAGATCGTGCCTCTACCCTCTCGGCGAATGGTGGATGCCAAAGACACGGTGAACTGACTTGCTCCCGAGGGAGGGAGGGGATGGAGAGGTGGGGGTGCTGCTCTGTGGGGACACAGTAGCAAACAAACCCAAACAGAGCGCACGGGGCGCTGCAGAAGGGACGAAGGTTCCAGCGTAGAAGCTGTGACCAGACTTCCCCTCAGGCTCCGGAGCCCGCAGGAGGTAAAGGGTTTGCCTATTACATCCCACCTTTGGCCTCTATCCCCATGCAGCTTCAAATTCACATCCTAGCTGTAGTAGAGGGGAGCCTTCTATGCGAGAGTTCCCAGCTTCACTCTTTAGTGACCAAGGAGTGGCATGGTAGCTCTCCAAATACGCTCTTGCTCTTCAGAAACTGAGTCTGAACGGGTGGGGGCAAGTAGGTCTGGAAATAGAGCTTCCGTGACCAGACTTGACCACTGAAAAATAAACACAACTTGAACAAAGAGAACTTGCCATCTTTGTGTCTTAATCTTTGAACGCTTTGTAGGCTTCTTAAGCTGGAGATCTGCGGAGGTGGCTCAGGGTCCGTGAAAGCCCCCCTTTATGTACACCGAAGTAGGAAACTTTCTGGTGTTTAGTGACAGAAACTCGCTTCTTTTCCAGCTTGTCCAAGAGTTCAACACGCAAGTGGCCCTGTACCGAGAGTTGGTCATTTCTATTGGGGACGTCTCGGTCAGCTGCCCCTCACTCCGGGTGGAAATGCACAAGACAAGAACCAAAGGCTGTGAAATGGCCCGACAGGCACACCAAAAACTTGCTGCCATCTCGGGGTAGGACACTTGGCATTATTTGATGCGTGGATGCTGACAGATATTTATGGTGGTGAGGTGATCTCTGCAGATTTGAGGTGTTAACCAATCACCCTGAGATCAGGATTCTCTAGAGAACTGTAACAAACTACAGGCCAAATAATAACCCGAAGGTTGTGTGATTTTTGTATATAGATTGAAGATTTTGGTCATTAAGTGATTTTTAAAAAATATATACTTTCCATAAGCTGGCTGCATATTGGAATTTGGGGCTTAAGATTTTTTGCAGAATGTTTGGGCATCAAACTGAAGTTAAATCATCATGCCTCAAGATTATTTTGTCATCTCCTGCTAGACATCTTCTGCACAAGGCCTGTGCAGTAGAGAGAAAAATCTTTGCTAAATCCCAGATTTACTAAACTATTTATACCATGAGACAAATTCCTATGACGCCATTTAAAATAAAATCCCTAAAATAAAGTCTTGGATATAAATTATGGTCTTCACTGTAGTGTACGAAAGGGAAGTTTTAACATAAGAATAGCTTTTTAAAGATTGGAAAAATTCACAAATCTAACTAAACCTAAGCTGTTTATGCCCCTTCCCAAATTATTTTTATTTATTTTTATCACATTTATGGATTCCCAGACCCCTTTAGGTGATAATCCAGTGAGTGAAAACTCTCCTGGAACTCTATCCACTTCTTCCTGATCTCTCAATATTGGGAGAAAAGTTAGTCATGGATTTTGTTAACAATTGCTGTTTTCAGATAAGTACCTAGAGCAAGGAGCATAAGAATCCTTACACAAATATATTAATTAAAGTGTTTGATTCCATCTGGATATGGCCTTTATCTGTTTATCTGTGTGAGTATGGCTTTATCACAGAAGTTCAAGAGAGTCAGACTCAGCTGATAATGTTGTGGATTGATCACTTGTAGGAATTACCTCTAATTTACTTACTTGAAAGAATCACTCTTTTCCATCTTTAATGCCAGTGATATGTACAGTGAGTATTATCGGTATATAAAGATTAGAAAGCCACGTGTTGCCTCTCATAATAACTAGTTTACACTTGACAACAGGCTTTTTATATCATGAAAAAAGAGACACTATGCTTACTTCCTTCAAGTGGGAGATAGAGAAAAAATGTCACAAAACCGTTTTATGTAGTAGAAGTATTGAGAAGCCTTATCCTTTTCTATTTTAGCTGTTAAACTGTACTTAACAGGAAGTAAATCTGGGAGTTAATTTAGGAGGTGGAAGGGAATTCAGTGTTTCAGGAATCTGGGGAAGAATTGAAGTTGTGATAAATCCCAGACTAGAAGGGAGGACGAACAATGAGAAACACGAAGGGGAAGAGTGGTGGGTTATAATTTGTAGTGAAACAATGATTCAGAAAGAAAAGCAGGTTTAGAACAGAGAAGTTTGTGCTCAGGAAATAGCATCTTTGTAAACTTTGTGTCCAGGATCCCTTTAAGTCGGGACTCAAATTGCTGATGTGTTCTAGTCGGAGAAGGTGGACTGGGAGAAATGAACAAGGAGTTCAGTTTAGTCTATTTTGCTACACACATGAAATTCAGGTTCTTCTAAAGGTCTAGGAAAGAAAGAGCCTGAAACTACTGGCTAAAAGTTGAGTTCCGAAGGTTTGACGTGGATTTTATTTACTCAGAGGTTTGTAGACTTTTGCTACTTGCTTACATGTTATCTGAGGATTGATGTTAATTGATTTTGTATGATGTTTCTTAGGACGTTTTATAAGAATCAGTGGGAAAATATGTTGTTTTTAGAGCCTTTCAAAGGTAAAACCAACTACGCTAAAATGTTTTAGCATAGAATTTGAAGGATTTTCCTCCTTGAAATAATAATTAAATACAGTTTAACTTTCTTTCTAAAAGATGACAGCAACATAATTGAAGGAAATCCCTTTAGCTCCTCACCATCTGGGCTCCGTTAATGAAGGATGTGATTCCCCTTGGCGGAATTCCGTTCCTGATATTGCTAGTTACGTGGGCTCTCATTTCAAGCCTGATGTGAAGGCTGGTAGGGAGGCTGTAGGATTTATTTTAAAATTTGAAGCAGAGGTAAGAAAAGCAAAGGGTCTTGGGGAATGTGTAGAGGGAAAGACTGGATCTCTTGAGTGCCCATTATTTACTGACACAATCCAGCTAATTCATAGAATAATCCTCTGAGAGAGGGATTATTATCCTTATTCCACAAATGGGTCTCAGTGTGGTTGGGGAACTTGCCCAAAGTCACACACCTAAGAGCTGGTACAACTTGGATCAGCCCCGAGTTTGCAAGCTTCTGAAATCCACGATCTTTCTTCTATGTAACGCTGCCATTCAAAAAGGTGTTATATAAAAAGGAACGAAGTACTGAGACATGCTAACATATGGGTGAACTTCACAAAGAGAGTGCTAAATGAAAGCAGCCAGTCACAAAATACCATATATTATATGATTTTGTATATATGCTCAGAAAAAACAAATCTATAAAAAGCAGAAAGTAGATCAATGGTTGCCTAAGGCTGCAGTGGGAACAGCGCATGACTACAAATGAGCTTGGGGGAGCTTTTTGGGGTGATGGAAGTGTCCCAAAATTGAATTGGGGTGATGGTTGTACAACTGTACATTTACTAAAAATCATTGAATTGCACACTTAAAATATGTGAATTTTAAGGTATGTAAACTGTACCTCAATAAGTGTTTTTTAAAAAGATATGATCACCGTCACCATGATTAACAGTTGCCTTTCGTTGTCTTTATTCTTTCCACATTTGTAGAATAGAGGGGGTATGAGCTATAGAAATGGGGGAAAAATAAAACTTGGCTCTCCACACATTCACCAAAATGCCTGCCTGACGGCTAGCATCCAAGCACCAATGTTTTGCTCTGTGTAGGAATACAGGTGGGGGAAAGGCAGGACTTGAAGGAGTAAATGAATTCTCTCATTTCTTACCAACATAGACCACTCCTTTACTGTCTACCACCTGGCATTGGGGCCAGAGGAGGGAGACAGAATTGAAGGTGGATGGGGTGAAAAGAGGATGAGGCAAGATAAACAGAGAGGAAGAGAAAAACCAATGAGTTAGAATTAAGCCACAAATGCTACATCCCTTTCATCCCTGATCAGTTGAAACCCTCAAGGAATGGTGATCAGAAGAGAAGAAAACTCAGACTGTTTCTCACTGGCTGGCCCTGGGTAAGAAGGCCATCTTCACGGACACAACTGAGACACTTTCTCAAATTGTGTTTAGATCAGCAGAAGCTCAGGCGCAGCGTTTTCTTCAAAGGCATCGAATGTTTTCTGGGCAGAGCTAGCCAGATGAATCCGAAGTCTCCTGTGCCAGGCTTGATTTACCATCGTTATTGTACCTTTCCAACGCTGATCCCTTCCTGGGTATTAAAGCTAAGAGGGGCCTTAAAAGTCACTTATAGAGTGGTCCCCAAACTTGTTTTAGCAGCTAAATCCCCCCTTCAGTCTAAATGTGGAAAGCCAGATTTACAAGACAGGTCAAGTGCCATTGCTCTGTGCTGTTTGACGTGTGTGTGTGTGTGTGTGTGTGTGTGTTCACAGAGGTAGCAGCTGTCTGGGCCCTGTCTCCTTGGACTTCCTTCCCAAAATGACTTCTAAGACACCTTTGAAGAACCCCTAGGGCTCCACAGCACAGAAAGTACTGATTTGGCACAATTTCCTTATTTTATATTTGAGGAATCTGAGATTCAGAGGATTTAAAGTGACTTTAGAGGCAACTTGGTCGGTATATGTGAAGATTTTGTGGTCAGGCAGACCTGGGATGAATACCCTTTTTTGTGACCTTGATGGAATTATTTAACTCTCTGAATCTCAGTTCCCTCATCTGTAAACTTCTTGTCGTGCTCACTCATGGGGTAGTTGAGGGGATTAAGGGAGCCACATACGTGAAGCAGGGAGCACAGTGCCCTGCCTGTCGATGGCACTTTGCCAGTCCCAGACTGCTCTAAGACGGGAACCCAGGTCTCTCGCTCCCTGGTTAGTGCCTGTTCCATCAACCACACCACCTCCTGATAATGAAGAGAAAAGAGGACAGCACACAAGCTAGGTGTGACCTAATGGAGCCAGTATCCTCCACCAAACCCCAGAGTTCATGCTATGGCTGGTGGGTAGGATTCCCTTTCCTATACTGCTTCTGTGGTGTCTGTGTTGGATGGGATCTTCACATCACTACCTCTGTCAGGGGCTGCTCAAGAAAGTCAAAGTGAAGTTTAAGTATGATAATGTGAGAGGCAGTATGGTGTGACGGGAAAGAGCGTTGACTCTAAATCAGATTAGACTTGGATAAAATCCTGGCTTTTACCACTTACTGGGGATACACGTGTATTGATATGCAAATTGCTCCACAGAGTGGTAAGTAGCAGTCTGGTGCAGTGGTTAGGTACACAGACTTTGAAGCCAGACTGCCAGTGTTCAAATCTCAGCACTACCACTCACAAACTGTGTGTCCTTGGACAAAGGCATTGCCTCTCTCTGCCTCAGCTTCCTAATCAGCAAAATGGGCTTAATAAATAACGAGACCAAATCATTTGTTATTGTGAGAACTGAGTCAGTGAATATACATCCAGCACTTAGAAGCCTGCCTAGTATAATAAATGCTATTAAGTGCAGTTTAGTGTTAGTGTAATTATTAATAAGATATTTAAAATTCAGGTGGTCCAGATACATTTATATAAAAAATTAATCCATCAAATATTTTTCAAATAAATATTTTGGCTGGAATAAATTTTTGTTTACCTTGGTTTCTTACGTTATGTTTTGAGGAATTTTCTAGCTTGAAGTTTCCCAGATGGCTATCAAAAGGCCCCTTCTTGAGTACCTTAAAAATGATATGGAGTTGTGAGGGCTCAAAAGTAGTTTGAAATATTTTCTTTGTATAAATCGGCCTAGATTCTTCATAAATCATATAATATTTACAAAATCTTTTGGCCTAGTTCTGGTATAGGCTGTGTGACATTGGCTAAGTCTGTTAAATTCTCTGTACACGTCA